GAAGAAATGTCTTCTTGTACAGACAATCTACAGGAAGAAATGTCTTCTTGTACAGACAATCTACAGGAAGAAATGTCTTCTTGTACAGACAATCTACAGGAAGAAATGTCTTCTTGTACAGACAATCTACAGGAAGAAATGTCTTCTTGTACAGACAATCTACAGGAAGAAATGTCTTCTTGTACAGACAATCTACAGGAAGAAATGTCTTCTTGTACAGACAATCTACAGGAAGAAATGTCTTCTTGTACAGACAATCTANATGGAAACAAATCAAACTAGTTTAGATGCCAGAACTACACAAAGACGTTAGAAGTAGCTCTGGCTGTGGAGCTCAGGAGCTAGATCAGGCTGGCCTGGAACTTGCAGAAATCCACCTGCCTGAGTGCTGGGATTAAAGGCGTGCGCCACCACACTGGGCCTGTTGCATGTTCTGAACAAAATCTTAGAAGATTAAAACCAGCAATGTACAAAACAAAAATAATTTATCACGAAGAAACAGGGCTCAGCCCAGAAAAGCAATATGGTTTAGTATCTGGAAGTTTGTACAGATAACTCAGCACATTAACAGAAAAGAGACGCTCTCAGGAGAGGGGTGTGCTAAGTCCTTCCAGTCCAGCCAGTGAGGAGGCTGAGGTCAGAATGCTGGCTGAACCAGCAGCAGGAACAAGCGGGACAATGGGGCGACTGACTTTACAACAGGAAGGAGAAGCTGAAGTGACGTCCAGACCTCCAGCCCAGCGCTCAGAGGCTGAAAGCCACGACTACTGTTCACATTAGCCCGAGGGACTTGGTGAGATCTGCTGCAAAGCCACCAGGGGAAAAAAACAAAAGAAGTTAAAATTCTTTGGTTTCTTTTTCCATGTTACCTATTGCAATCACGCAAGAATAAAGGGAAGTTTACAGTCTGAGAAAGACAAAGTGATGCTGTCTCTGTAGACAAAATGATCATTATTAAAAGAAAAAATTAAAAGACATTAAAAAAAAAGTTTACTAGGCCAGGACAGGCACCAAAGCTACAGAGAAACCCTGTCTGGGAAAAAAAAAAAAGTTTACTAGGGCAAAAATTTAGCTAAATAATAAATGGGATATAAAAAGTCAGTATGTGAAAATTAATTACAATCTTAATTGTCAATAACAGAGCTACAAATAGTGATTTAAAATAACACCTATGATAGTACCAGAAATATAAATAAATTCAACAAAATATTCAGGATATGTATAAAAAGGAAATAATGCTTGAAAATTCAAAAAGTCATAAATCACATGTGTTCTAAAAGATTCATCATTATAAAGGCATAAATTACCTCAAGACTGATGTGAGTTCAATAGACACATGGAAAAGATTCACACCGTAAGTTTTATGAAATAGTAAGATCCCAACTAAAGCTAAGAAGCCATTTTTCGCTGGGCACTTGGGGAGGCAGAGACAGGTGGATCTCTGTGAGTTCAAGGCCAGCCTGGTGTACAGAGTTCTAAGAGACAGAGACAGGGCTACACAGAGAAATCCAGTCTCAAAAGAAAAAACAAAAACAAAAACAAAACAAAAATAGAGCCATTTTCCCCAGGACCCACAGGGTGGAAGGAGAAGCCTCCGCCGAGTCGTCTCTCCCGGTACCCAGAGCAAGAAGGACACGCCTAGACTCATCTTACCGAGCCCACGGGTCCCTCAGCCCCCGGGCGGCCAGCTTCTTCTGCACTGTCTCTAGCGGTGTCCCTTCTATTTTCCACTGTGTGTGATCTGGAAGGACCAGTTTATCGTGACCATGCCCGTGCCCCTGCCCGTGTCCATGCCCAGCAGCCATGTCTACGGGAAAAAGAGAGAGCCAAAGTTGATGAGGATGTGTCAAGTGAAATGCTTTTAAAACGATAAATACCTGACAATTCTGAGTAGAGAGCTTTTATAAAAATATACTAGTTCTTCCAGGCCAGCCTGGTCTATAGTGAATTTCAGGACCGTCAGGGCTTTGTGTAGAGAGTCTCTGTCTCACAAAAACAAACAAACCCAACCAAAACAAAACAAAATAAAAACAACCAAACACTTTTTATAGATGAAGACAATGAGACTCTAAGCAGTAAGTCAGTGCTATAACTAGTCTCTCTCTCTCTGTCATCCATTTTTCAAGATGTGATTTCTCTGGAGCTTTTGTCCTGAAGCCAGGCTGGCCTTGAAGTTCCAGCGACCTATCTGCCTGCTCTGCCTCTGGAGTGTTGGGGTTACTGTTATTTCAAAATAGCCATAAATTAAACAAGAAAATCTCAAATGTTCAAAGAAAGAGTTTAAAATCATCTTTTTTTGAACCACTAATAGCTATAAAATGCAAGAAAACCCCTGAAGCTTTCTGGACTTCTATTGCCTCACAAAACAAGGATAAAAATCTACCTTCCAAGATTGGGAAATGCAATATTACCTAAGTAAACAAGATTGGGAAATGCAGAGAACACACTGTAGTGTGCCTTCCATGTTCACATCCAAGTGGTGAGACTATGACTGAGCACAACTGTTCTGGAAAAACCGTCATGACCCAGAAAATGGAACATTTGCTGGGTGTACGGGCACCCGCCTTCAATCCTTGCACTCGGGAAGCAGAGGCAGGTGAATTTCTTGAGTTCCAGGCCAGCCTGGAAAAACAAAATGTAAATAAACAACAAAAAGAACATTTGGATACCTATGGCCACCAATTCCTCTCCTGGATCTGTGCTGTCTTGTTAGGTAGCCACTAACCTCTGGAATGTGGCTATGCAGCTAAGGAACCTGGAATTTTAACTTTTTAAAAAGACCTTATTTGTGTGTGTGTGTGTGTGTGTGAGATGCATGTATGAGAGGGAGGCCAGAGAAGATATTGCATCCCCTAAATCTGAATAATAGGTGGTCATGAGCTGTCTGGTGTGGGTACTAGGAACTAAACTCAGGTCCCCTGGGAGAGGACCAAGTACCAAAGCAAATTCATTTATAAGAAAATACTAAAGTGTCTTTGGAATTATCTGGTGTATGAATATACTTTTCAACCTTATAAAATACAAGCACAGACCAAGTATTTATATTTATGTAAATAATATGGATATACTGTATACATAACATACAAAAAATTTTAAGACAGTATGAAATGTAGAACAGTTCATTAGTAATACAGAGTGTTTATATGTGTGTCCGTGTGCGTGAATACATATATATATATATATCCCCAAGACAGGGTTTTGCTGTGTAGCCCTGGCTGTACTGGAACTCAATCTGTAGACCAGGCTGGTATTGAACTCAGAAATTCACCTGCCCCTGCCTCCCAAGAGCTACGATTAAAGGCGTGTGCTACCATGCTTGGTTTCAGAATATATCTTTAAATGAGACTACATTTAATATATTAGATGACTTTTTTTCTTACTTTTAGCATCCACTAGAAAATTTAATACTACATGCATGGCTTCCATTACGTTCCTATTGGACATTGCTACTTGAGAGAAATTTCTGTATGTATATGACAAGGAATATGTTTTATCAGACTTTTTTCAGAACGAACCACACATAACTTTATCAATGAGGTAGGCGCCACCCCATCTTACAGGAACACTGTTTTATTTACCTAACTCAGTCTGACCACATATGAATACTTGATATGTATTCAGGGATGACTTTGAACTTTCAATTCTTCTGTCTCTCTCTCCCAAGTGCTACAAGTACAGTCCTGTGCATATGCCTGACTCCTCTTTTCAAAGGAATCTTTATTTAAAGCCTCATTGATTTGTGTGTGCACGCGTCCACATAAAGGTCAGTGGACACCTTAAAGGAACCGGTTCTCTCACACCACGGGAAAGGTGAGTTACACTGTACTGAGCACTCGACGGCGGGAAATCATTTCCCTTGCAGGATCGCTCATGTAAGGACAGTAAAGAAATAAACTCAACAAAGACCAAACGTGTAATTATGGAAAACTGAAACGCTACCTGCTTATGTCAGAAGCCAACTTAGAGGTCAGGTGATGATCTACCTCCACCCAAGGTGGCTTGTTCTAATACAGGACGTGTTGGCTGACTTGCCCTACGGGATGCTTCTTCCACTCCGTGTAATTTCACAGGGCTTTCACGTATATAACTGAAATTTCCCTCATCCAAATACTGAGATGACCATAAAAATATAAGAAAAGCCGACTGAAATGTTATTACTTTGGCACCCAATCCGTAACCGTAGGAATATGCAATGGACGTGATTTTGTGAGGCATCTGGTGGAATTTTTCTAGGTTAAGCATTTTCGGATCGGGGACTGTTCTTTACCCGCCCCCCCCCCCCAAAAAAAATCCAGAAGGCGAGGAGGAAACTGCGGGTGACAGCGGCGGGAGTGGAGGTCGGGTGTCTGGGGTTGAAGCGCTATAATAACCATCGGGGCCTCCTCCATCCGCCTCCGCTCAGCTCGGCCGCACTCGGCCGCAGCGCTCCCCTCCTCCCGGTTCCTCTCATCACTTCTGCACTCCCCCTGGACCCAGTTTGGATAATTCCTAACCCAGAGGTCACCCACCAGCTCCCTAAATTACCTGACAGCAATCTGACCTCTCAGGACACTCACTATTCAACCTTCCAGACGGAGCCAACCGGAAACGGACGTTGTCGACGAGCGTTCCTCACCGCAGGAAAGCGGAGGAGTCGATAAGCGTTCCTACCACGGCGCAAGGCTCCCAGACGAGGGAGAAAGACGACGGCGTAAGAAAAACTGGACATCGAGACCGTTTGCCACACCCTGCAGCCAGCATCCGACTGAGCTCGGGGACGCTGAGGAGACGGGTAAGAAAAGCGCGTTTTCCTTGTTCCCGGGCGGACTCTTTTAGGCGGCGCACCGGAGGGCGGGCCGAGGCGGCGGCGCGGCCAATGGGAACGGCTGTTATTGAGCGCGCCGGCCCACTCAATGAGAGGGCCGGTTGTTGTGCTGCAGTTGGCAGGCTGCTGCGGGAGGCGGTGGCGGTGGCGGTGGCGGTGGGAAGTCCTAGGCTGCTGCGGGGTGACAGGTAGGTGGGGGACGCGTACGGTGCCGGGGGAGGAGGTGTCAACTCCGGCTGCGGTCGCGGGAGCCGGCGGGGGGCGGATCCCGAGCTCTGCACACCCGGTAGCCAGCCCGGGAGGGTCGTGAGGAGGAGGCGGCTTGGGGCTCAGTGAGTGTCGTGGGGGCGACTTGGGGGGCCTAGAGAGGGCGACGAGGGTGTGGGTGGGGAAGGAGGCAGGAGCAGGGCGCGGGCGGTGAGGGCTGAAGGGATTTCTTGCAGGAAGCCTCAGGCTAGAGAAGGACGCGGCGTTTGCAGACACCTGAGTGAAATCCTCGGGGTTGTTGTCAGGGTGCGGAGGAGGAAGAGGTTTCTTGGTGGTCGGAGCTACAAACTAGCGGCTGGTACATTATGTAACCCCTGGCAGTTATTTTTTTCTCCCCCCCGAAAAACTCGAACGAGCGTCATGGAAGAGGAGCTCTTGCAAGCCGTTGATAGACGTGATCACTTTCTTGTTGTCGCTGGCTCCCGTGTTTTCCTACCCAGGCAGGCTCTGGAGGAGGAGGACAGCGTGAAGGCAGGAGTAGTCACGAAGCGCTTATCCCAAATAAGGACTTGGCTTGAGACACGACACGACGTTTAAGCTCGAGATGGGCGAAATGTTTTGTAGTACACGCATTGGCTGCTTTGCAGCGCAGGAACAGATAGAGTGTTTAACCTCCAGCAAAGTGGAGAGCCTTCTAAATCCAGAGAGGAAGGTAAACTCGGATTAGAAAACGGACAGTAAGTTAGTTGGTCGACAACTTGCCCCCCATATATGGATGCTAAGGATGGTGAAAATAAGACGGTACTCTAAACAGGGGAGAGCCACCTTTTGAGTGATTTGCTTCGTTAAGTCTGAGGAACTAGTTGTGAGTTGTAAATTCACGGTCTGAATGGTGGGATACAGTACCAAAACAAACTCCCTCTCAGCGTGTGTTGTGGAAGGGCTTTTGCTTGTATAGCTCATTGGAAAACTCGTCTGAGAAGACTGGGATACAATTTTAAAAGCAGCGCTATAAATTGCTGAAGGGTAGGCTCTTGACATGCCTTCAAGTCAGAAGGTGAGGATTAGCATAGTATTGGGAAGTGTCTCTTCCTTCTGGGCTTGTTTTTGAACTACATGTTTAGGACAACTTTCTAAGATCTGATCCCCCCCCCCCCTACTCTTGGTCATTTGTGTTCGTACATATAAAATTAGAATTTTTGTTTTTTCTCTCTCAGAATACCTTCTGAAAAGAAATGGTGACTAGGATTTGTTTTGAAATGTCCGGTGAACTGAGGGATTTGTTAGCGCCTTAAATACAGTTTAAAATGATGCTGGTGTTTCATTCCTCGTCTTATCTTTTTACAAGAATGATGTTACCTTGGCCCCGAAGAAAACACATTTTTGCTTTAGGTGAAATACTCTCCTGCTTTCAATACCTGTGAACAAATTTTTGCCTTTAGGTGGGTTGATTTAAGAGTGTATGTGTCTCTGTGTTTCTCTTATGTAACCAGCCTACTCTAGCTAAGAGAACTAATGGCTGATTTCTAGTGGCCAGTAGGTGTCATTGTAGACTGCCGTAAGTCGAACAGGCAGTAGGGAATTACCAAATAGTTTAAAAAACACTATCCCAAATTATCATTTACTAGAATCTGGAAGGTTATAAATCATAGAGATTTTGTTTTCTGAAATATTTCTATGTCAAAGCCATTGGTAAATAAATTGAAACATTGGTTGTAAGGAAATATTAGTGCTTGCTTCAAAATGGATCTTGAAAAATTTGTTTTTTTTTTTAATATAACCCTTAAGCTGCCCCCCCCCCCCCAGTCTCACTCTGTAGACGAGGCTGGCGTTGAACTCACAAAGATCCATCCAACTCTGCCTTCCAAGTACAGGGGTTAAAGGCGTGCACCACCACAGCCAGGCCCACAAGCTGTCCTAGTGGACAGTATGGGTTTGTTTCATTGTTAGTACACAGCTTTGACATCTTCTTGTAGTGTAGAGGTTCTAAAATAATCTTCAGCCTGACCGAGAGTTATTATAGAAAAGTACTAAATAATTAAAAACTAAATAATATGATAAAATATGGGAAGAAGTTTTCAACCCAGTTGTATTGTCAACACAACAAGACAGTATTTTGCTGCTCTTTTAATGCCAGGACAACAGCATTGTTTCCTCTTACATCTTTACCTGGCTAGTAGACCGTTTACTTTTCCCATGACAGGCATGGAATACTTCTCGGTGTCTAAAATGTAAAATCTGTGAAAACCGTTTACACTGACTGTTGATACAGTCCTTTGCTGTCAGCCATCTGATGGGCCCCCTTTCTAGCTCTGTTCCTATGCTCGCTATTAATACAGTACTTCCAGAAAGGAGGGAGGCTTAGGGACCGGTGAGCTGGCCGGGCAAGTATAGCCCCTGCCATGCAGGCGTGAGGACTAGAGTTTGGGTCTCCAGGACCCACATAAATGCCAGACGGGCGTTGGTGGCCAGTTCATAATTCCGGCACTTGGGGGGCAGAGACAGAATCCCCAGTGCAGCTGGCCAGCTGGTCTAGTCAGACTGGCATGCTCTGGGCTCAGCTGAGCGTGCTGCAGTGCACATGAAGTGGAGCGTGGATGAAGAAGCCGCTGGTGTCAGACTCTGCCTTCACATGCGTTCTCATCTGCACATATGTGCGCCCACACATACATGAACACAGCACACATACAGGAGTCGGACCTACTTTGAGAATCCTCTATGAAGATAGCGATATCTCAAAATATCCAGGAGGTTTTTTAGTTTTTAAAAAAGGGGACACGCATATGTTGTATCTGCGCTTCCCTTTAGAGTCTTAGTGCAGGGAGGGTATGAAGGAAGGAGATGACTGATTTCGTTTATATCTGGCCTTCACTTTAGAGTCTGATCCAATTCAGCTTCTGTCACACAGTGCTGCGAACCAGTAGCAGCAGTGTTAACTGTGAGCCAGCTGCCAAATCTGCCAGCATTTTATAGTTCAATAAACTGTTTCCATTTCATGTCGTAGTTAGGGCAGCTTTTCTAGCCAGAAGCTGAAGTCGCCGAAACTAAGGATGTGCTGACTGTTTTGGGCTGAGTTAGTTTTCACTTGGCACGTCACTGCTTTCCACAAGCCAAGCTGTTTTCTTTCACAAGCTGGCCCTATATGAATTAGTTTGCACAGATGCCTCCTCACCTTGTTTCCTGATGTGTCAGAAAGCTGTACTGTCCTTGACTAAACTTGAGAAATAACCTGCTGGTGGCAGTGCAGCCTTTAATCCAGGCCCTGGGAGGCGGCAGCAGCAGGTGGATTGAGTTTAGAGGCCAGCCTGGTCTACAGAGCGAGTTCTGGGGCAGCCACGGCTACACAGAGAAACCTAAAAAAAAAAAAAGTAAATTTAATTAAAAAAAGAATTGCAAGTTTACTTGATTAAACAGTTTTCAGTGAAACTTTGATGTAATTATGTGGATTGATATATGAACAGGTGTTTGCTCAATAATAGGTAGTAAACTTAGAATTGCAAATCTTTTGACCCTAACATGGGTTAAGTTTAGAAATTCATGGACTTTAGACCTAATGTTTAGGGGTTTGGCTGTTTGGAGACAAGTATGAAAAGAAGAAGTAAATGGGAATATATGAAGTGGTATGGTTTAAGTATTCATAAAATTATAATAATTTTTAGGTTTGAGGATTAACTGCCAAAATAACAGTCATAGAATATGGTAAAGGGCACTGACATTGGCTGGTAAAGATGGGTCACCAAATGGTCATTTTGTTACAGAGTCACTGTAGGCTTCAAAAAATTTAAATGTTAGTTTATCATACACCACATGGCTTTCTTTTTACTTTTTCCTAACCACCTGGCTGTATTTTCTCTTTTATCATCTTTTTAATGTACTGAAGCTAGAATCCTGATGGTATCTTTGATGTTTGCTTTTGCTCTGGGGTATTTTGAGATGGGGATCCACTAGTAATCCAAGCTGGATGATTTGCCTCTGCCTTCTGAATGGTGAGATTGCAAGCGTGCTTCATCCCTGGGAGGTCTTAAACCAGACATGGTAGTGTACACCTGTGATCCCAGAGCTTAACTGTATAGCAAGTCTGAGGTCATCCTAAGCTATATGAGACCCTGTCTGAAACACAGAAGACAAAACAACTGAGGTTTTATTTATATATTTCTTATCTAAGTAATCCTTGGTTCTTGGAAAAATGATTTGTTATTGTGTATGCACGCATGCTTTTGTGGAGATGCATGTGTGACCAGAGGACTTTGAGGTTCTCGTGTTCCCCTGTGAATTTTGGGGGATCAAACTCAGACTTGCACGACAAGCACTTTTTACCATGTGAGCCATCTCATCTCTGAGCTAGATATCCTTGGTTCTAGTGGCTTTTTATTTTTATCATTTACTTAGTTTTGTATTGAGTCAGGATCTCCTGTCCTGAATACTGGCCTTAAACTCCTGATACTGCCTCAGGAGCTGGAATTGCAGCTATGTGCCATCAAACCCAACAACTTTATCTATTTTGAAAAGTATTTCATTAGCCAGAAGGTAGTGGCACACACCTTTCATCCCAGCACTTGGGAGGCAGAGGCAGGAGGATCTCTGTGAGTTCAAACCAGCCTGCTCTACAGAGTAAGTTTCAGGACAGCCAGGGCTACATAGAGATACCCTGTCTCCTTATCTCAAAAAACAAGCAAACAAAAAGGTGCTTCATTTATTTAGTGTGTATGTGTGTCTGCCTGTGTGGCTCACATGTGTGGAGGTCAGAGGCCACCTCTTAATGTGTGGGTTTAGAGGTCAGCACCTTTACCCACTGAGCCATCTCACCCTCCTCATTTGTAGTTCAGTTGGCACATAGTTACAGACACTTATGGGGTACTATATGGTGTTTTACTTTGTACATACATTGGACAGCATACATTATGTAACGTTCAAATCAGGGTGACCTTTCTCAGCTCCTCCATTGTTTATCTTTTGTGTGTTTGTGGTGAGAAGATTCACACCTGAGCTGCTTTGAGATACAGATGACTGCGGTTCTCTGTGCCCCTCCCACTACAGCAGAGCATCAGAGTTTGTACCCTAACTCTGCTGACAGCACCCGTTAGCTAAACTCTGGTGACCACTGCTTCATTCTCTGTCTCTGTAG